GCACCAATTTTCATACCTTTCTCAAGTAGTAGCAAAAATAAACGCCTATTGAAGTGTTAAAAACAGTTAGTCGACCATCACCATTGAAGCATGACCCAAGTTCCTCTAAATTTGAATAAACTTTGTACAGACACATTACCAGTTGCACAAACGATGTCTGTATATGCGCCTTTGAGAAAAATTTGTGCATTTTTTTTTTTTTGTTCAGAAAATAATTCAAAATTTTTTACTTTTTACTAAGAACCTATCTGTTTGCTAAATATCAATAGGATAAATAATTCAGTAATAAAAATTGATCTTTTAGAATAGTTTTGTATAGAAAAATATTTTCATCACTGTTAGTGGCTAAATTTATGTTGTAGCAAATTTTTTTAAATTTAGATGCCATTAAATACTTCAACTAACCCCACTGTACGCATACGACCAGTAGACAGTTGGAAATGACAAAAATAAAGTACTTATTAAACAGCCGCATTTTCGCTTTGACCTATTTGGAAACCTACTCATAGAGCACCTCTATTTCTGCTGAGATACAGTCTGTCTCGTCAAGTTGGTTTTTTTTTAGCATATATTTTGTTTTATAAATTCTTGTTTCAAGCACCGTCTACAGCAATAAGACTCCACAGTTGACATTTTTCAGTACTACAGAGTCTACGATAAGCTGTATCACTTATTACCTTTTTCACTCCTCTTATATAAGACACTTTCAAGTTTATACTTTTTCTCTATACCATTATCATCAGCTGTTAGCCAAAAAGTATATTATAAAGCAAGCTGGTAAATGTTTAGTAATTATGAATACATTCTGATTTCAAGTTATCCAACTGAACCCTTATGAAAATAGTTACTGATATGTAAATATAGAATTGCTTTAGTGTAGACCCTAAGATACCAAATATTAATGTTTATTTCCTTTGGGCACAGGATACCAATAAACTATGCTTTTTTGAGAATCACTTCAACAACTAATTGGATTTATTCCGCGTATAATACGAGAAAAAAAAGCAAGTAAAATAGAAAAAGAAAAATGAAGAAACGTAAAGCACAGATTAAACATATGTATCGAGCACAATTTTCACCAAACATTCAAACAGTTCTTTGTTTTTTTCGGCACCATTTCCATTTCTGCTTAGAGTAATAATCTATAACCCAAACATTTTCAAAATGATACTGTCTTGACGATAGTTAAAAATGAGTAAAGAAGGGGAAAAATTAGCCAACTTCCATGCATTTGTGATGCGCGACTTCAAAATGTATTACTGAATTATTAAAAAATATGATTTACTGATATAAACATAAAACACATCATAAAATTTGCAATATTTTTGATCAACGAAGGAATACCAGCAACAGTAATAATTGCAATAATGATGACAATAACGCTAATAATCGAAACAGTGAATAATAATCATCTAGCAATAGTAGTAATAAAAGTAACTGTTTTAGTAGCCATATTTATGATAAGTACAATAACCATAATAGCCATAAATTTTGTAGTTGAATTTGCTAAGAAATTGTTTGTTAAAAATTTGATACAAAGAAAAAAGAACAGAACTTCAACATTTTACTTCTATTCTTTTTTTTTTCCTGCGTTCTTTTAGTATCAATAACTTAATACTGGATAAGACTACTGCAAAGTCAAGACAAACTAGGTAGATAGATTAAACTTACATACACGCACACCCATAAATACATAGTAAAATTACGCACAAGTATAAAAAAATTTTCTAAAATTTTTTCTTTCTTCAGCACTAATAATATCTGCACTAAAAAAATACAGATGAGATGAACAGCCATACCACTATACAAACATATGAATACCAATAAATCTTTGTTTGTAATAAATATTTCTGCAAACAAAAACAAAAAAAAAAAAAAAAAAAAAAAAAAAAAA